GGGGGAGGGGGGAGGGGGAGGAGGAGGAGGAGGAGGAGGAGAGGAGGAGAGGAGAAAGAGAAAGAGAGGAGCGGGAGGGAGGAGGAGGAAGGAGGAGGAGGAGGAGGGGGAGGGAGGGAGGGAGGGAGGGAGAGAGGGAGGGAGGGAGGGAGGGAGGCAGGGAGGAAGAGGAGGAGGAGGAGGAGGAAAAGGAAGAGGGAGAAGAAGAAAACGAAAAACTATAATGACACGGAGAAGGATAATACGAATACATATACACAACATCAATCGTCATATCATTATCAATACTACTGACACTAGTTTGTTTTTTTTATAACACTTTAATTACGCATGCCAATAACATCAAGACTAATATTAAGGATACGAAGAATAATATTAATGATGAAAACACGAAGAGGAGGAAAAGGAAGAGGAGGACATGAGAGAGTCGGAGGAGAAGGAGGAGGAGGAGGAACAGTAGGAGGAAGAGGAAGAGGAAGAGGAAAAGGAGGAGGAGGAGGAGGAGGGCGATTACGATGAGGGCGAGTGTGACTGCGACTGCTGGAGGAGGAGGAAGAAGAAAGATAATAAGCATCCGCCACGGCTGGATTCGCCTCGGAATCCCGGTCAGAACGCAGCCCAGGAGAGTCGGGAGTTTTGAGACAGGGGTCAATGCACAAGGGGGTTAGCCAGAGCTCCAGATTTTGCAGGATCTTGCAGAGTCAGGGTTGCACTGACCCGGGCTAGCGCGCAGTATCCTGCAGGATCGGTGTCGGTGTCGGTGTCGCCGGCGTCGGCGTCGGCGTCGGCGTCGGCGTCGGCGTCGGCGTCAGCGTCGGCGTCGGCGTCGGCGGCGGCGGCGGCGTCGGCGTCGGCGTCGGCGTCGGCGTCGGCATCGGCGTCGGCGTCGGCGTCGGCGTCGGCGTCGGCGTCGGCGTCGTTGTCGTCGTCGTCGTCGTCGTCGTCGTCGTCGTCGTCGTCATCATCGTTATCGTTATCGTTATCGTCGTCGTCGTCGTCGTCGTCCCTGGGAGATGTCTGGGGAGTAGCAGTGCCGATATTTTTTGATTTCCCCGACTCCCTCGTGGGAGAGGCCGCACCGCGCGACTCTGAGGAGGGCGAGTGTGACTGCGACTGCTGGAGGAGGAGGAAGAAGAAAGATAATAAGCATCCGCCACGGCTGGATTCGCCTCGAAATCCTGGTCAGAACGCAGCCCAGGAGAGTCGGGAGTTTTGAGACAGGGGTCAATGCACAAGGGGGTTAGCCAGAGCTCCAGATTTTGCAGGATCTTGCAGAGTCAGGGTTGCACTGACCCGGGCTAGCGCGCAGTATCCTGCAGGATCGGTGTCGGTGCCGGTGACGGTGTCGCCGGCGTCGGCGTCGGCGTCGGCGTCGGCGTCAGCGTCGGCGTCAGCGTCGGCGGCGTCGGCGGCGTTGGCGTCAGCGTCGGCGTCGGCGTCGGCGTCGGCGTCGGCGTCGGCGTCGGCGTCGGCGTCGGCGTCGGCGTCGTCGTCGTCGTCGTCGTCGTCGTCGTCGTCGTCGTCGTCATCGTTATCGTTATCGTTATCGTCGTCGTCGTCGTCGTCGTCGTCGTCGTCCCTGGGAGATGTCTGGGGAGTAGCAGTGCCGATATTTTTTGATTTCCTCGACTCCCTCGTGGGAGAGGCCGCACCGCGCGACTCTGAGGAGGGCGAGTGTGACTGCGACTGCTGGAGGAGGAGGAAGAAGAAAGATAATAAGCATCCGCCACGGCTGGATTCGCCTCGAAATCCCGGTCAGAACGCAGCCCAGGAGAGTCGGGAGTTTTGAGACAGGGGTCAATGCACAAGGGGGTTAGCCAGAGCTCCAGATTTTGCAGGATCTTGCAGAGTCAGGGTTGCACTGACCCGGGCTAGCGCGCAGTATCCTGCAGGATCGGTGTCGGTGTCGGTGTCGGTGTCGCCGGCGTCGGCGTCGGCGTCGGCGTCGGCGTCAGCGTCGGCGTCGGCGTCGGCGGCGTCGGCGTCGGTGGCGTCAGCGTCGGCGTCGGCGTCGGCGTCGGCGTCGGCGTCGGCGTCGGCGTCGGCGTCGGCGTCGTTGTCGTCGTCGTCGTCGTCGTCGTCGTCGTCATCGTTATCGTTATCGTTATCGTCGTCGTCGTCGTCGTCGTCGTCGTCCCTGGGAGATGTCTGGGGAGTAGCAGTGCCGATATTTTTTGATTTCCCCGACTCCCTCGTGGGAGAGGCCGCACCGCGCGACTCTGAGGAGGGCGAGTGTGACTGCGACTGCTGGAGGAGGAGGAAGAAGAAAGATGATAAGCATCCGCCACGGCTGGATTCGCCTCGAAATCCCGGTCAGAACGCAGCCCAGGAGAGTCGGGAGTTTTGAGACAGGGGTCAATGCACAAGGGGGTTAGCCAGAGCTCCAGATTTTGCAGGATCTTGCAGAGTCAGGGTTGCACTGACCCGGGCTAGCGCGCAGTATCCTGCAGGATCGGTGTCGGTGTCGGTGTCGGTGTCGCCGGCGTCGGCGTCGGCGTCGGCGTCGGCGTCAGCGTCGGCGGCGTCGGCGGCGTCGGCGTCGGCGTCAGCGTCGGCGTCGGCGTCGGCGTCGGCGTCGGCGTCGGCGTCGGCGTCGGCGTCGGCGTCGGCGTCGGCGTCGTCGTCGTCGTCGTCGTCGTCGTCGTCGTCATCGTTATCGTTATCGTTATCGTCGTCGTCGTCGTCGTCGTCGTCGTCGGGAGATGTCTGGGGAGTAGCAGTGCCGATATTTTTTGATTTCCCCGACTCCCATGTGGGAGAGGCCGCACCGCGCGACTCTGAGGAGGGCGAGTGTGACTGCGACTGCTGGAGGAGGAGGAAGAAGAAAGATAATAAGCATCCGCCACGGCTGGATTCGCCTCGAAATCCCGGTCAGAAACGCAGCCCAGGAGAGTCGGGAGTTTTGAGACAGGGGTCAATGCACAAGGGGGTTAGCCAGAGCTCCAGATTTTGAAGGATCTTGCAGAGTCAGGGTTGCATTGACCCGGGCTAGCGCGCAGTATCCTGCAGGATCGGTGTCGGTGTCGGTGTCGGTGTCGCCGGCGTCGGCGTCGGCGTCGGCGTCGGCGTCAGCGTCGGCGTCGGCGTCGGCGGCGTCGTCGGCGTCGGCGTCGGCGTCAGCGTCGGCGTCGGCGTCGGCGTCGGCGTCGGCGTCGGCGTCGGCGTCGGCGTCGTTGTCGTCGTCGTCGTCGTCGTCGTCGTTGTCGTCGTCGTCGTCGTCGTCGTCGTCGTCGTCGTCGTCGTCATCGTTATCGTTATCGTTGTCGTCGTCGTCGTCGTCGTCGTCGTCGTCGTCGTCGTCGTCCCTGGGAGATGTCTGGGGAGTAGCAGTGCCGATATTTTTTGATTTCCCCGACTCCCTCGTGGGAGAGGCCGCACCGCGCGACTCTGAGGAGGGCCAGCTGGGACAACGGGGGGCCCCTCGTCGCCACGGCTGGACGCAGCCCGGAGAACTGGTGCAGTCGATTCCCGGGGGGGGCCCGGGAGCCGACTTTGAGCCGCCGTTGTGTCGGCTCGCCGTGCGGTCGGCCCGAGATAGAAGGTCGCAGTCCGCTCGGGGAGGGTACCGTAATGTTCCTCGTGTTTGTTGGATGCTCTTGTGCATCCCGGGGGAGGGTACCTCTAGGCCTTTTAGATGGGGTCCGAGTAGATGGGGTCGGAGGACCGTGCCGCATCGCCGATGCATTGGCGATGCGGCTCGATGCGTAGCCAAATTTTCGCCATGCCGACGGCGCCGATGCATCGCCGACGTCGCCGATGCATTGCCGATGCATCGCCGATGCATCGTCGATGCATTGGCGATGCTGCGCGATTCTCCGACCCCATCTATTTGTGCGTCCCAGAAGAGGTTCCAGGATTTTCCCGAACTGAATTCGAGCGACGCAGAAAAAACGACGCAAAAAAAGGGAAACAACGGGGTCGTCTGCGCCGACATTGGCGCGCAAGTTGCCCGCGCAATGCCGCGCGTGAGCGCCCTCGTCTCCAATGCAGCGTGTCGCGCCGGCGGCCCGCGTAAGCCGCTGCGTAAGGTCGCTACGTCATCTCGCGCTAGACACGTTTTCGATCGTCGCTCATCCGTGGACGCCACATTGGGCCCTACCCAGACCAGGTCTATACCGGATAAGTCGGGTGCCCGACCACCTTCATTGCCGTGTCCGTTTTGGCCCAGGGCTTGCCCCCCCCCGCGGACGCCCGCACGCACGTCCTTCGGCTTCCCGCGGAGCTGGAGGGGCTGAGGTGTCGCGTCGTGCTTCGCGGTGCGGCGTGTCCCGAGACACCGATGGGAGGTTGCATGGGCCGTGTGTTGAGTCTGAGGCCCGCTGGAAACGTTGTGGGCCCTGGTGAGACGTCTCACCCGTTCGACGACGAGGACGAGGATATGTCCCCAGTCCCCAGGGAGAATTCGGGGGAATGGGGGATGGAAATTTGCCGCTCAGCGTCAATGGTCTCGGCTTTAGAGGCGATGGCGAGAGTGATTACTCCTCCCGCCGCCTCCACTGGCCTCATCAGTAGAGGGAATACTCTTGAGCAGGTATCGAAACGTGCCGCGCAGATGGAATTTCCAATGTATGTGATGAAGTTATCAACTTTTCTAGGTCTAGATAGTCTGCGACCGCACCAAGAGCTTCTCGCAGAGGGCTCGATTTTCTTATGGAATCGGCGACATGGTCCCGTGAATTTCATATCCCACCAATGGCTGGGCTTCTCGCACCCTGACCCCCAGGGAGTTCAGTTGCGTTGCATGCAGAAGGTTTTCCAAAATGCATCCAGTGGTTTGCTCTCTTTTCGAAGCGAGCGTGATTGGGACCTGTACAGTAAGTCTCATGACTATATCAAATCATCTGCCCAGAGAGGTTCGATTCTTCTGAGGGCAGGCTCACTTTATATGGACAATACTTGCAGCCGCGATGATTTTGTGAGCAGCGTTAGGGATGGATGCGTGTGGATCGACTATCAGGGGATTCCCCAGAGTGCGGAGGTAGACGGAGTGGTGCGGCACAATGAGCAGGATGTTGGTTTTTATCGAAGACGCCTACGGCGAATCACCACCGCCCCCTGCCCTTTCGGAAGCGCCTATGTGGCCGAACGTTGTGGCCAGAGGCCTGCCAAGCTATCGGACCATGTGTTCCCCGAATCGGTTTGGAAAGCTTTCGGCGAACACGTGGGGGAGAATGAACATGATGAGGAAGAGGAAGTGGCTTCTTGGGCCGTCTTGAGCCGTAGGAATGGCGAGAAGAAACAAATGCCAACATCCTTGAAACACTTAGGGACAATAATTTGTTGGGGTCTCTTCGGGCCCTCCTGGAGGACCTCTTGGAGGCCTCTTGGGCCGTCTTGGAGGCCTCTTGGGGGCCTCTTGGGCCGTCTTGGGCAATATTGGCGCCTTGTTAGGCCGTCTTGGAGGCATCTTGGGCCGTCTTGGAGGCATGTTGGGGGGCGACGTTATCGGACCACGTGTTCCCCGAGTCGGTTTGGAAAGCCTTCGGGGAACACGTGGGGGAGGAAGAGGAAGAGGGGGAGAAGGAGGAAAAAGGAGAAGGGGGAGCATGCCTCTTCGGAGCCTCTTGAGGTACTCTTGGGCTCGATTGGGCCATCTTGGGACCGTCTTGGAGGCCATATTGATGCTATCTTGGGCTCTCTTGGAGCCTCTTGAGGGCCTCTTGGGGCCTTCTTGGGACTTCTCGGGAGCCTCTTTGGCCGTCTTAGGGCGTTCCTGGCCCGTCTGACGCCGTCGGGAGCCGTCTTGGGGGCTTCTCTGAACCAGCTTGGCGGGGTCGTCTTGGAGGCCATCTTGGGCGCCTTGGAGGTCTCTTGGGCCGTCTTGGGGCCCTCTTGAGGCCGTCTTGGGAGCCTCTTGGGCCGGCTTGGGGCCATCTTGGAGGCCTCGTGGTTGATTTTGGGGCGATCTTGGGGGCCTCTTGGGCCGTCTTGAGCCGTCGGAATGGCGAGAAGAGGCACATGCCAAAATCCTTCAAAAACCATGGGAAAATCAATTATTTGTGGCCTCTTCGGGCCATCCTGGATCACCTCTTGGAGGCCTCTTGGGTCGTATTGAGGCCTCTTGGGCCGTCTTGGGCCATCTTGAGGCTATCTTATGCCATCTTCGGCACATCTTGGGCCGTCTTGGAGGCCATCTTGGGCGTCTTCAAGGCCTCCTGGGCCGTCTTGGGGACCTCGTGGGGCCGTCCTGGGGGCCTCTTGGGCCGTCTCGGTCCGTCGGAAGGCCGAAAAGAAGGAAATGTCAAAAACCTTCAAAAACCTTAGGGAAATAAGTGTTTTTGGCTTTTTTCTGGCCTTCCTGGAGGCCCTCTTGGAGGCCTCTTGGGCAGTCTTAGGCCAGCTTCGAGCCAACTTCGCCCATCTTGGTGGGTTCCTGGCACGTCTGACGCCGTCGGGAGCCGTCTTGGGGGCCTCTCTGGGCCGACTTGGGGTCCTCTTGGGGCGCTTCGGGGCCGTCTTGGAGGCCATCTCTGGCGTCTTGGAGGTCTCTTGGGCCGTCTTGGGACCCTCGTAGGGCCGTCTTGGAGGCCTCTTGGGCCGTATTGAGGCCTCTCGGGCCGTCTTGGGCCATCTTGAGGCTATCTTACGCCATCTTGAGTACATCTTGGGCCGTCTTGGAGGCATCTCTTGGCCGTCTGGGATGCATCTTGGAGGCCATCTTGGGCCGTCGTGGAGCCGTCTGGATCAGGAAAACCCTTTGGAGCCGGGTCCGCGCAAATTACCTAACATCGAAGACTGATAGGTTTCTAATGGGCTAAAAAGAGAGCAGCACATTACTTCAACATTACTTCAACATTACTCCGCAGGGGGGTCTGGGCAGCCGTTGGGGGCAGTTGGGTGGCAGTTGGGGGGCTGTTGGGGTTTGCCGGCGGGGATCGTTTTTCGCATACAGTCACACACTTCGTGCTTTTCGATTTCCCAGAACTCCATTCCCGGGCCACATTTTGGAAGCCCGGAGCTAACTGTAGGCCACTTCGTGCTCTTCGATTTCCCAGAACTCCATTCCCGGGCCACATTTTGGATGCCCGGAGCCAACTGTAGGCCACTTCGTGCTCTTCTATTTCCCAGAACTCCATTCCCGGGCCACATTTTGGATGCCCGGAGCCAACTGTAGGCCACTTCGTGTTCTTCGACTTCCCAGAACTCCATTCCCGGGCCACATTTTGGATGCCCGGAGCCAACTGTAGGCCACTTCGTGATCTTCGAGTTCCCAGAATTCCATTCCTGGGCATGATTTTGAATGCCCGGAGCCAACTGTAGGCCACTTCGTGTTCTTCGAGTTCCCAGAATTCCATTCCCGGGCCACATTTTGAATGCTGAGGCAGGCTGAGGCTGAGGCTGAGGCAGGCTGAGGCTGAGGCAGGCTGAGGCTGAGGCCGAGGCTGAAGGCAGACTGAGGCTGAGGCTGAAGCAGGCTGAGGCTGAGGCAGAGGCAGGCTGAGGCTGAGGCAGGCTGATGCTGAGGCAGGCTGAGGCTGAGGCTGAGGCTGATGCAGGCTGAGGCTGAGGCAGGCTGAGGCTGAGGCTGAGGCCAAGGCTCAAGGCAGACTGAGGCTTTGGCTGAAGCAGGCTGAGGCTGAGGCTGAGGCTGAGGCTGAGGCAGGCTGAGGCTGAGGCTGAGGCAGGCTGATGCTGAGGCAGGCTGAGGCTGAGGCTGAGGCTGAGGCTGAGGCTGAGGCTGAGCAGGCTGAGGCTGAGGCAGGCTGAGGCGGAGGCCGAGGCTGAAGGCAGACTGAGGCTGAGGCTGAAGCAGGCTGAGGCTGAGGCTGAGGCAGGCTGAGGCTGAGGCTGAGGCAGGCTGAGGCTGAGGCAGGCTGAGGCTGAGGCTGAGGCTGATGCAGGCTGAGGCTGAGGCAGGCTGAGGCTGAGGCCGAGGCTGAAGGCAGACTGAGGCTGAGGCTGAAGCAGGCTGAGGCTGAGGCTGAGGCAGGCTGAGGCTGAGGCTGAGGCAGGCTGAGGCTGAGGCAGGCTGAGGCTGAGGCTGAGGCTGATGCAGGCTGAGGCTGAGGCAGGCTGAGGCTGAGGCCGAGGCTGAAGGCAGACTGAGGCTGAGGCTGAAGCAGGCTGAGGCTGAGGCTGAGGCAGGCTGAGGCTGAGGCTGAGGCAGGCTGATGCTGAGGCAGGCTGAGGCTGAGGCTGAGGCTGATGCAGGCTGAGGCTGAGGCAGGCTGAGGCTGAGGCCGAGGCTGAAGGCAGACTGAGGCTGAGGCTGAAGCAGGCTGAGGCTGAGGCAGAGGCAGGCTGAGGCTGAGGCTGAGGCAGGCTGAGGCTGAGGCAGGCTGAGGCTGAGGCTGAGGCTGAGGCTGAGGCAGGCTGAGGCTGAGGCAGGCTGAAGGCAGACTGAGGCTGAGGCTGAAGCAGGCTGAGGCTGAGGCTGAGGCAGGCTGAGGCTGAGGCTGAGGCTGAGGCTGAGGCTGAGGCTGAGGCTGAGGCTGAGGCCGAGGCTGAAGGCAGACTGAGGCTGAGGCTGAAGCAGGCTGAGGCTGAGGCAGGAGGCTGAGGCTGAGGCAGGCTGATGCTGCAGGCTGAGGCTGAGGCAGGCTGAGCTGAGGCAGGCTGAGGCTGAGGCTGAGGCTGAGGCTGAGGCAGGCTGAGGCTGAGGCTGAGGCTGAGGCTGAGGCAGGCTGAGGCTGAGGCTGAGGCTGAAGGCAGACTGAGGCTGAGGCTGAAGCAGGCTGAGGCTGAGGCTGAGGCAGGCTGAGGCTGAGGCAGGCTGAGGCTGAGGCTGAGGCTGAGGCTGAGGCTGAGGCTGAGGCTGTGACTGCGACTGCCGTTGCCACTGCGACTTGCATCGCGAATGCGACTACGACTGCGAGAACAGCAGAATTCTACAACTGGATTCTCATCCGAATCTTAAGGGGAATGCTTCCAGATATGCTCCTACACATCGATGTTAGGTTGCTTTGCCGGGATAATTTTCTGCATCCTTTCGGGTGGCCGGCGGGAGGGGTAGTTCTTTTGGAAAAAGAACCAAAACCAAAAAGATAGGATTCAACACGTCAGGCACCCCTCTTGCAAGCAACAGGGGGCGGCGGATCGAAGACGCCTACGGTGAATCACCGCCGCCCCCTGCCTTTTTGGAAGCGCCTGTGTGGCCGAACATTGAGGCCAGACCTGCCAAGCTATCGGACCATGTGCTCCCCGAATCAGTTTGGAAAGCCTTCGGGGAACACGTGGCCATCTTGAAGGTCATCTTGGCCGTCTGGAGGCCATTTCGACCCTTTCGGGCCTTCTTGGAGGACGTCTTGGAGGGCTCTTGGGCCGTCTTGGAGGCCATCTTGAGCGTTTTGGAGGCCTCTTGGGCGTCTTGGGGGCCTCTTGGGGCCGTCTTGGGCGACCTTTGGGGGCACTTGGGCCGTCTCGGGTCGTCGGAGGCTGGAAAAAAGGAAATGCCACAATCCTTAAAAATACCATGGGAAATTACCTAACAGCGAAGACTGATAGGTTTCTAGTGGTGTAAAAAGAGCTCACAGATCACTCCACAGGGGGGTCCGGGCAGGTGTTGGGAGTTGCCGGGCGGCAGGGTGCCCCGCTCGTTTTTCACCAACAGTCACACACTTCGTGCTCTTCGAGTTCCCAGAACTCCATTCCCAGGCTCATTCTGAATAACCGGATGCAACAGTCACACACTTCGTGCTCTTCGAGATTCCCAGAACGCCATTCCCGGGCCACATTCTGGAGGGCCGGATGCAACAGTCACACACTTCGTGCTCTTCGAGTTCCCAGAATTCCATTCCCGGGCCACATTTTGGATGCCCGGAGCCAACTGTAGGCCACTTCCTGGTCTTCGAGTTCCCAGAACTCCATTCCGGGCCACATTTTGAATGCCCGGAGCCAACTGTAGGCCACTTCGTGCTCTTCGAATGCCCATTTTGGAGCCAACAGTAGGCCACTTCGTGCTCTTCGAGTGCCCAGAACTCCATTCCTGGGCCACATTTTGAATGCCCGGAGCCAACTGTAGGCCACTTCGTGCTCTTCGAGTTCCCAGAACTCCATTCCCGGGCCGCATTTTGATGCTGATGCAGAGGCTGAGAATGGTGATGCTGATGCTGAGGCTGAGGCTGAGGCAGGCAGGCTGAGGCTGATGAGGCTGAGGCAGGCTGAGGCTGAGGCCGAGGCTGAAGGCAGGCTGAGGCAGACGCTGAGGCAGGCTGAGGCTGAGGCAGGCTGAGGCTGAGGCTGAGGCTGAGGCAGGCTGATGCTGAGGCAGGCTGAGGCTGAGGCTGAGGCTGAAGGCAGACTGAGGCTGAGGCAGGAGGCTGAGGCTGAGCAGGCTGAGGCTGAGGCTGAGGCTGAGGCTGAGGCAGGCTGAGGCTGAGGCTGAGGCTGAGGCTGAGGCAGACTGAGGCTGAGGCTGAAGCAGGCTGAGGCTGAGGCTGAGGCAGGCTGAGGCTGAGGCTGAGGCAGGCTGATACTGAGGCAGGCTGAGGCTGTGACTGCGACTGCCGCTGCCACTGCGACTGTCATCGCGAATGCGACTGCGACTGCGAGAACAGCAGAACTCTACAACTGGATTCTCATCTGAATCTTAAGGGGAATGCTTCCATATATGCTTCTACACATCGCTGTTAGGTTGCTTTGCCGGGATAATCAAAGATTTTGGTCTTTTCGGGCCTTCCTGGAGGCCCTCGAGGCCGTCTTGGGCCATCTTAAGGCCATCTTCGGCCGTCTTGGTGGGTTCCTGGCCCGTCTCACCCCGTCGGAAGCCGTTTGGGGGGTCTCTCTGGGCCGACTTGGGGCCCTCTTGGAATGCTCCAGGACCGTCTTGGAGGCCATCTTGGGCGTCTTAACGGCCTGGGTCGTCTTGGGGGCCTCTTGGGGCCGTCTTGGGGGCCTCTTGGGCCGTTCTGGGGCCATCTTAGAGGCCTCTTGGGCGATCTTTGGGGGCTCTTGGGCCGTCTCGGGCCGTCGGAAGGCCGAAAATCTGCACATGTCAAAATCCTTCAGATACCAAAGGACAATAAGTGTTTTTTTGCATTTTTCTGGCCTTCCTGGAGGCCTCTTGGAGGCCTCTTGCGCCGTCTTGGGCCAGCATCGAGCCAACTTCGCCCATCGTGGTGGGTTCCTGGCACGTCTGACGCCGTCGGGAGCCGTCTTGGGGGCCTCTCTGGGCCGACTTGGGGTCCTCTTGGGGCGCTTCGGGGCCGTCTTGGAGGCCATCTCTGGCGTCTTGGAGGTCTCTTGGGCCGTCTTGGGGCCCTCTTAGGGCCGTCTTGGAGGCCTCTGGGGCCGTCATGGGGCCCTTTTGGAGGCCTCATGGGCGATGGTGGGGCGATCTTGGCAGCCTCTTGGGCCGTCTTGAGCCGTCGGAATGGCGAGAAGAGGCACATGCCAAAATCCTTCAAAAACCGTACGGATTTTGGCCTCTTCGGGCCCTCCTGGAGCACCTCTTGGAGGCCTCTTGGGCCGTATTGAGGCCTCTTGGGCCGTCTTGGGCCATCTTGAGGCTATCTTACGCCATCTTGAGTACATCTTGGGCCGTCTTGGAGGCATCTCTTGGCCGTCTGGGATGCGTCTTGGAGGCCATCTTGGGCCGTCGTGGAGCCGTCTGGATCAGGAAAACCCTTTGGAGCCGGGTCCGCGCAAATTTTCGGCATCCTTTCGGGTGGCCGGCGGGACGCGCCAGAGCCCCAGGGGTAGTTCTTTTGGAAAAAGAGCCAAAACCAAAAACGATATGATTCAACACATTTCAACACGCCAGGCACTCCTTGCAAGCAACAGGGGGCGGCGGATCGAAGACGCCTACGGTGAATCACCGCCGCCCCCTGCCTTTTTGGAAGCGCCTATGTGGCCGAACGTTGAGGCCGTCTGACGCCGTCGGGAGCCGTCTTGGGGGCCTCTCTGGGCCGACTTGGTGCCCTCTTGGGGCGCTTCGGGGCCGTCTTAGAGGCCATCTTGGGCGTCTTGGAGGCCTCTTGGCCCGTCTTGAGGCCCTCTTGGGGCCGTCTTGGGGGCCTTTTGGGCCGTCATGGGGCCATCTTGGAGGCCTCCTGGGCCGTCTTGGGGGCCTCTTGGGGCCGTCTTGGGGGCCTCTTGGGCCGTTCAGGGGCCATCTTGGAAGCCTTCTGGGCGATCTTTGGGGGCTCTTGGGCCGTCTCGGGCCGTCGGAAAGCCGAAAATCTGCACATGTCAAAATCCTTCAGATACCAAAGGAAAATAAGTGTTTTTGGCATTTTTCTGGCCTTCCTGGAGGCCTCTTGGAGGCCTCTTGCGCCGTCTTGGGCCAGCATCGAGCCAACTTCGCCCATCTTGGTGGGTTCCTGGCACGTCTGACGCCGTCGGGAGCCGTCTTGGGGGCCTCTCTGGGCCGACTTGGGGTCCTCTTGGGGCGCTTCGGGGCCGTCTTGGAGGCCATCTCTGGCGTTGAGGCGCAAGTACCAAAATCCTTCAAAAACCAAAGGAACATCTTCGGGCCTCCTGGAGAACCTCTTGGAGGCCTATTGGGCCGTTTTGGAGGCCTCTTGGGAGCCTCTTGGGTTGTTTTGGACCATCTTGAGGCCATCTTAGGCCGTCTTGGGTGCATCTTGGGCCGTCTTGGAGGCATCTTGGGGCCACCTTAGCCGTCTTGGAGGCCATCTTGGCTGTCTTGGAGGCGTCTTGGACGCCTTTTTGGGCCATCTTGGAGCCGTCTGGAACGGAAAAACCCTTTGCAACCACCTCTGGAAGATCTTTCGGCATCATTCCGGGTGGCCGGCGGGACGCGAAGGAGCCCCGGGGGGGGTACTTTTGAAAAAAGAGCCAAAACCAAAACAGAGAGGGTCCAGCACGCCAGGCACCCCTGCGATGAATCGACAGGGGGCGGCGGATCCAGCTGCCTACATGTACGGCAAGTCCCGCCACCGTGCCAGCCCAGCATTCTGGGCGGCGACTGTTCGAGGGGGCTCGGGATGACGATGAAGATAACGATGATGATGCTGTTTATGCTGCTGCTGATGATTCTCATGTTGTTTATGATGATGCAGATGATGATGAGGAGGAGGAGGAGGGCGACGATGATGACGATGGCGATCGAGTTGATTATGCTGACGGTGATGATGCTGATGCTGCTGATGAGGATGATGATGAGGATGAGGATTAGGCCGATGATGGGGATGAGGAGGAGGAGGATGCTGCTGCTGATAAGGATGAGGATCATCATGAGGATAAGGATGATGATCAGGATGTTGACGATGAGGATGACGATGATGTCGAGGATGATGATGACCATGCGGATGAGGATGATGATGATGATGATGATGATGATGATGATGATGATGGTGATGATGGTGATGATGATGGTGATGATGGTGATGATGGTGATGGCGGTGATTGGTGATGGTGACGGCGATGAGGATCGGGAAATTGACGATGGTGTTGATGGTGATGATGAGGAGGAGGATGAGGAGGAGGATTACTATGACAGTGGTGATGGTGACGTTGAGGATGAGGATGAGGAGGATGAGGATGATGATGATGATGATGATGATGATGATCATCATGAGGATGCTGATGATGCTGACGATACTGCTGATGATGCTGATGATGGTGATCGTGATCTTGATGGTGTTGGGTATGGTGGTGATGATGGTGGTGGTGATGGGGATGCTGATGATGAGTATGATGATGGTAATGGTGATGTTGACGTTGGTGGTGGTGATGGTGATGATGATGCCGATGCTGATGCTGATGATGCTGATGATGCTGATGATGATGCTGATGATGCTGATGATGATGCTGATGATGATGATGATGATGATGATGATGATGATGATGATGATGCTGATGCTGATGCTAATGCTGAACATCGTTTGGGCCGTCGTTGGGCTGTCTTGGCTTTCTGTCATACAGCCTTGGGGGGCCCTCTCGGGTCGTCTTGGGGCCCTCGTACGACGGTTTGGGGCTCTCTTGGGCCGCTTTGGTGCCCTCGTGGCCATGGTTGGTTTCTGGGGCCCGTCTTGGCGCCGTCTTGGGCCGTCGAAGGGCTTTCTAAGGCCGTCGTGGGTCCCACGGGAGGCCCGCTTGGGGGGACCGTCTTGGATACCTCTTAGGTAATCGTGGAGTCCCTTTAGGCCGCCTTGAGCTGACGGCAGTCCGAAAAAGCGAGGATGCGACAACCATCCAAACATCCAAGGGAAGTAAATCAGGTGGGCTGCTTCTGACCCTGTTGGAGGTCCTTTTGTTGCCCTTTTGGGCCCTCTTGGAGGCATCTTGGGCCGTCCTGAATCAATAGTCGGCCGCGTTGTGGGACCATCGTGGGCAGTCTTCGAGGCATCTTGCGCCATCTTGGTGTCCTTGGTTGCCTGTGCGGTCCGTCTTGGAAGCTCGGGACGCAGGTCCATCCTTTTTGATAAGGGATCGTGGTTTGGGAGGGCCTGGGAATGCAGGAGCAGCGCCTGGGAATGCGGGAAGTGCATGATCCCCGAGCGGGCGCGCGTGGGATGAGGGGTCTACGAGTTAGCAGCCATGCGGGAATTGCACAATCCTCGAGCGGGTGCGCATGGAATGATGGTTCAGGCGTTAGCTGCCATGCGGGAAGTGCACCATCTTCGAGCGGGCTCGCGTGGAAGGGGGGTCAGGCATTAGCTGCCATACGGGAAGTGCACCATCCTCGAGCGGACACGCGTGGAGTGGGGGGTTCGGCATTCGCTGCCATGTTGGAAATGCTCCGTCCTTGCTAGCGGGCACGAGGGAAGTGGCCTGGGAAAGGAGGGGCGGTGCATGCAACAGTCTGCTGGTAGAGAGGGAGGGGGCGGTCCCTTACCAGAGTAACGCAGGGCCCTCCCAGGCAGCCCCAAGCGGTCGTCCACGCCTCAGCGTGCCAGGGGGCACGGTGGCGGATTTTCGGGAGCAGCAGCAGAGAGCTATCAACAGTATTCCTGCCTATGTGGAAGCCGCGACAAACTTTTGGGTCATGGCCCCAACGGCCGTCCACGTGGACACGAAAAAGGAGTGCAATTTCACAACGTGGAAGGAGCGGGGCTGGTGCCGTGTGGAAGATTGGGCGAACGAGTTCAGCTTCGAGGTGCGACGGCCACTGATTGTGGAGAGCCCTGAAGACGTTTGGGTTGAGGACTTCGCCGACAAGTTCACCGCCCGTGCACAGCGACAGCATGCCGCTTTAAATGGTCAGTTTACGTGTTGCAGATTGGGACATTCAGTAAATGGGAAAATTTTCCCGTGCGACAGGGGCAGGGCGCGTGGTGTCGTGCATCGTGCGTTCACGAACAAGGTCGAACACCTGAGGGAAAACCGTGACATCAGAGAACCCTAACTGCCACCAGCATGAATTTTCGGAGGTCTGCTGATTCTAGACGCTGATCCAGAAACGATGCCCAGGCGCGTTGCCCTGATCAGTGATGTGGAGGAGCATTCAGTCGAAGACGGGGCTGGGTAAGACGTCATACCCCAAGGGGGGAAGGATGAGGAGGAGTCAGAGGAGGAGGAGTCAGAGGAGGAGGAGTAGGAGGAGGAGGAGGAGGAGGAGGGGGAGGAGGGAGAGGGGAGGGGGGAGGGGGAGGAGGGAGGAGCAAGGAGGAGAAATAGGCGGATGAGGAGGAGGAGGCGCAGGAGGAGGAGGAGGAGGAGGAGGAGGAGGAGGGAGGAGGAGAAGAGGGAGGAGGAGGAGGGCGAACAGAAAGGCCAGCAGCCTCTTGGATGTCTTTCGGGGTCTCTTCGGAGTTCTTCCAGGAGCATCTTGGAGTCTTCTTGGGGTGTCTTGGGGGTCTCTTGGCAGTCCTGGGGTCGTCTTGATGTGTCTGAGGTGCCCCTGGGGAGCCTTTTGGAACCTCTCGGGGTCTATTGGGAGCCCCTTGGGGGTTGGGGGCATTACTTGGGGGCCTCTTGGGGCCTCGTGGGGGCGTCTTCAGGCAAAGAGCTCGAAATGGCCAAAATCTCAGTACAATCAATGATGTTGGCCTTCTTGCCGAGGCCTCTTGGGGTGTCTTGGGTGGGCCTCGGGGGCCTCCTGGGGGTCTCTTGGGAGCCTCCTGGGGGTCTCTTGGGAGCCTCTTGGAGGCATCTTGGGTGCCTTTTGGGGCACCCTTGGGAGCCTCGGGGGCCATCTTTGGGGATATCGATCAAAGGAGTGGTCGTATTACGGGGAAGCTGGAAACATATGTGCGGGCCTGGCCCGGTTGTGTTGCATGCTCCGGGCTTCCGGTTGTGTTTTTCTCGTCGGGCCACACCGAATTTGAAACGGGCTGGTGAAGCTCATCTTTGTAACCATCCGCTTGTATTTCATTCCAAGGGCGCCGCGCGCGCCCGCCAAAGCCTTGTAACCATCTTTGTGTTCCAGTCCGCTTGTGTTTCCTCATTTGGCCTAGGTAGGCCGCCCAACTGGCTTGCGCCGGCGGCATTTTCTTGCGCGGCGGCGGCCAGGCTTTTTCATTTTTCTGCAGTGGCTCGCGCGGGGAGGGGGGGTGGTCGCGCGTTACATTGCGATGTCTGTGTTTTTTGTTATTGGCCCACGGCGTTGCGTTTTCTGGTTTGTGTCGCGCGGTTGCCACCGTAGCTGCCCCGAAGTCTTTGTGTTTTTGGTAGTAGGCGCGCCTTTGTGTTTGTTCTTGCGGGAACGGCGACGGGCCTGCGCGGTTACGCCAGAAACAGTGTTTTTGTTCGCGGGCAGAAGATTGTGTTTACCAATTTGGCCTTGCATGGAGCTCCGCTAGGCCGCGCCGAAATCTGTATGTTTTCTCCCGCTGGGCGAGCTGTTGTGTTCCTTCAATTCGGCCATACAGCGGCCCCACGTGGCGGCCCCAACCACTTTGTCATTTATTCGCGAGGGCCGATGTCGCGGGCCACATGGGGCATGGCCCATGCCCCATGGGGCATGCCCCATGCCCAATGCGGCATGCCGCATGCTGAATGTCCAATGGGGCGTCCGCTCGAACCGGTCGACCATAATTTTACACATATTTTTTATCACACGGTTTCGGGGGTGACGCGTGTCACCCGCTCCTTTTCTCAGGTTGGTTGACACCATGTTGCCCCCCAGAATCAGAATTTTACAATTGGTTTTATTCACACGGTATCGGGGGTGACACGTGTCACCCGTTGCTTCTCTGAGGCTGAATGGCACCACGCTGGCCCCCAGAGTCATAATTGTACAATTGGTTTTACTCACGCGGTTTCGGGGGTGACACGTGTCAGCCACTGCTTTTCTGAGGTTGGCTGACACCGTGTTGGCCCCCAGAATCGTAATGTCATAACTGGTTTGTCTACACGGTGTCGGGGGTGACACGTGTCACAGGCTACGTTTCTGAGACTGATTAACACCATCTTGCCTTCCAGAATCATAATTTTACACTTGGTTTTTCTCACACGGTTTCGGGGGTGACACGTGTCACCCGTTGCTTTTCTGAGGCTGATTGACACCATGTTGCCTCCCAGAATCATAATTTTACAATCGGTTTTTCTCACACGGTATCGGAGGTGACACGTGTCACCCCGCTGCTTTTCTGAGGCAGAATGGCACCACGTTGGCCCCCGGAATCATACTTGTACAATTGGTTTCACTCACGCGGTTTCGGGGGTGACACGTGTCACCCGCTGCTTTTCTGAGGCTGGCTGACACCGTGCTGGCCCCCAAAATCGTAATTTTATTGAATCGCTTCGCTCATTCCGCCGGCCCGTGATATGGCATCGCTGGTTTTTGTCTGTGTGTTCGTTGCCCATGTTGCGCTCTTGGGGGCGGGTGTCGTTCGGACGCGTTGCGTGGGGAGTTTTGATGGTGAAGCAGTTCCCTGGGGGTCGTCTCTCGATGGGGCGAAATAGAGTCGTCGTCAAGATGCTTCTTTGGGGGGCCTCTTGGGGTCTGTTGAGAGGCCGTTCGGGGGCGCCTGGGAGACATGTTTGAAGCCTTCTGGGGCTTCTTTTGGGCCTCCTGGGAGTCTCCTGGGGCCTCTTGGCGACATCTTGGGGCCTCTTGGAGGCCTCTTGGGGCCTCTTTGGGACCTCCTGGGCGCCTTCTGGGACGGAGGGCTCCATTTTTGAGTTCTCGGTATCCCTCCTGAGTCCCTCTTGGGCCCGTCTTGGGGCCTCTTGGTCCGTCTTGGGCGGCACTTGGGCCGTCTTGAGGGCTCTCTTGGGTCGTTTCGGCGCCGTCTTGGGAGCTTCGTGGGCCGTCTTGGAGCGGTCTTGGGGGCCTCTTGGGCCGTCTTGGAGCGTCCGGAAGCCGAAAAAGCCAGAACACAAAAAACATCGAAAAAACCAATGAAAATCAACGATTTTGGCCTCTTGGGGCTCTCTTCGGAGGCCTCTTGGAAGGCTCTTGGGGCGTCTTGGAGGCCTCTTGGGCTGTCTTGGGGGCCTTTTGGGCCGTCTTGGGGTCATCTTCGGCGTCTTCGAGCGCTCTTTGGGCGTCTCGGGGGCCTCTTGGGCAGTCTTGGGGGCCTCTTGGGGCACTCTGAGCGCGCTCTGGGGAGCCTGAGAGGCCGCACCCAGAAGGAAAACCATCTCTGAGTAGACTTGGTCGGGCGGCGGTCGGGCGGCGGTCGGGGTACTTTTCGCCGGGGGACCCCCAGGGGCCGCCCCGCGCGCGCGAACTAGAAATACTGTTAATACTGTTAACCAGTTACCGGAGATCTTAGCACGCCCTGGCCCGTTGGGCCGGCGAATAATTGGTTCTTCTACACTGTGTCGGGGGTGACACGTGTCACCCCGCTGCTTTTCTGAGGCTGATTGACACCATGCTGCCTCCAATAATCATAATTTTACAATTGGTTTTACTTAGGCGGTTTCGGGGGTGACGCGTGTCACCCGCTGCTTTTTCTGAGGCTGATTGACACCATGCTGGCCCCCAGAGTCGTAATTTTATAATTGGTTTTCTCACGCGGTTTCGGGGGTGACACGTGTCACCCCGCTGCTTTTCTGAGGCTGGTTGACGCCATGTTGGCCCCCGGATCATAATCTGAAAGTTAAGTTTTCTCACGCGGTTTCTGTTTTGAGGCTGACTGACCCAGTGTTGGCCCCCAGAATCATAATTTTTCAATTGGTTTTTCTCACACGGTTTCGGGGGTGACACGTGTCACCCCGCTGCTTTTCTGAGGCTGGTTGACGCCATGTTGGCCCCCATAAGCGTATTTGTATAATTGTTGTTTCTACACGGTTTCGGGGGTGACACGTGTCACCCGTTGTTTTTTCTGAGGATGATTGACACCATGTTGCCCCCCAGACCCATAGTTTTGCAATTGGTTTTTACATACTGTTTCGATGGTGACACGTGTCCCCGGCTGCTTTTCTGAGGCTGATTGACACCGTGTTGCCCCAACGAATCGTAATTTCACATTTGTTTTTCTCACGCGGTTTCGGGGGTGACACGTGTCACCCCGCTGCTTTTCTGAGGTTGGTTGACACCATGTTGCCCCCCCTGAATCATAGTTATACAATTGGTTTCTCTCACGCGGTTTCGGGGGTGACACTTGTCACCCGCTGCTTTTCTGAGGCTGATTGACGCCATGTTGGCCCCCGGAATCATAATGTTCTGATTGGTTTTTCTACACGGTGTCGGGGATGACACGTGTCACCCGTTGCTTCTCCACGTTGGCCCCTGGAATCATAATTGCACAATTGGTTTTACCCTACGCAGTTTCGGGGGTGACACGTGTCAGCCCCTGCTTTTCTGAGGCTGGCTGACACCGTGTTGGCCCCCAGGATCGTAATGTTAGAATTGTTTTTTTCTACACGGTGTTGTGGTTGACACGTGTCACCCGCTGCTTTTCTGAGGCTGACTGACCCCATGTTGGCCACCAGAGTCGCAATTTCACAGTTGTTGTTTTTTCACGCGCGGTTTCGGGGGTGACACGTGTCACCCGCCGCCTTTTTGAGGCTGACTGACCCAATGTTGGTTCCCCGAAGGCTCCCCAAAATGCAACGCGGAAAGGGGTCAAATAGGCAGGCCCCCCAAAAACACGCAGTCAAAGAGGCAGGTTCAAAAAGAACCAGAGGCGCCTGAAGCGGTCGGCCTGGGCCGACCGCTTCAGGCGCCTCCATGAAAACGTTGTTTTTTTCTTTGCGCGCCAGCCTTCTGTGTTTTCTAGTCCGCGGTTCGGGCGCGGTGGCCGAGGCCGCGACACGATCTTTGTTTTATTTCTGCGGGGCGCCCTGCTGTGTTTTTCTGTTTGGGCGAGGGCCGCCCCCTGTTGGCCACGCGGGCCCTTGCGTTTTTTTGCTTTTGGCCAGACCTTTGTGTTTTTGGCCATCGGCCCGAGCGGAGCCCCGCAGGATTGGTTCGACGCCTATGTTTTTCCATGTGTTGGGCCAGCCCCATCCGCCCTCGTTGCGGTTCGCCTTTTCCTGCGCGGAGATCGCCGTCGGGCCGGTTGGGGGCTCTTTGGGGCTACCATGAGGTCTCTATGTTTTTGCGTTCGGGGCGCGGGTTCCCTGTGTTTTTTATTTTCGCAGGCCGGCGCGAGCGCGATTTCCTCTTTTCTAACCACTCTGTCCGTTGTGTTTCCAGCCTTTATTGTTACCAGCTTCCCCGTACATTGGGGCCTCCTCCCCAGGACGCCAGCATGTGGTCAAAACCATTGTAAAGTCAATGGTTTTGACTTTTTCGCCGAGGCGTCTTGGGCGCCTCTGGTGGGCCTCTCGAGGCCTCCTGGGGGTCTCTTGGGAGCCGCTTGGGAGCATTCTGGGGGCCCTCCTGGGCACCTCTCGGGGCCGTTTGGGGGCCCCCTTGGGAGCCTCGGGAGAAATCTTGGGGCCAGGAGATCGATCAAACAAGGGGGAGGCTCCAATTAGTCCCCCCCCCAGGAGGCCCAAATGTGACCAAAACCTTAATAACATGAATGTTTTTGGTCTTCTCGCCGAGACCACTTGGGGACGTCTTGGGTGCCTCTGAGGGGCCTTTGGGGGGTCTCTTGGGCGCCTCTTGGGGGCATCGTGGGGGTTTCTTGGAGGCTTCTTGTGGCCTCCTAGGGGCAAATTGGGGCCGTCTTTGGGCACCCTTGGGAGCCTCGGGGGCCATCTTGGAGACATCTTAGAGGAGATCGATCAAAGGAGGGGCCGCAGTACATTAGGCCCCCACCCCGAGGAAGCCAAACTGTGGCCAAAGTCCTAGTACAATCCATGATTTGGGTCCTCTCGCCGAGGCCATCTTGGACGTTCCAGCGCCTCGCGAAACGCCCCCTCCAAACCCAGGGGGAGGGGTTAATTATGGGGGAGGGGTGATGGACGAGGAACGCTCCAAACTCAGAGTAGGAAAAGGTACCCATCCCGCTACCCTCCGCCAGTTTTCCCCTTTTCGAGCCTCCTTGGAGGCCCTCGTCGTTACCGTTGGATTCGCCTCGAAATTCTGGTCAGAACGCACCCTGGGAGGGGTCTGGGGAGTAGCGGTATCGGTGCCTTTTGGTCTCCCCACAAACCACCCACGCTCTAAAGGGTTGGTGGGATTTCTCGGGTCGGCGCCAGACCACTCCCCGCACATGCCAGCCCAAGACATTCGCACGGATCCCCGAAAGACTGAGTTTGTGCAGTTTTTAGGTTCTCTAGACATGGTGCACTATACTTGGTTTCTTTGTCTCAAGCCAGCGCTGCTTGCGGAGACGGGAAGGTACGGTACATTGGACGTTCCTCAAGATGATAGTGTGGCTTCATTTCTGCACCGTTACGGCTTCCATGAGGACATCGAAGGTCTGGATGTGCCATTGCAGCCCGTGTTTTTCCCGTTGTTCTGCGCTGCATGCGAGGGGAACATGGCGATTGTCAGGTCGCTGGTTGAATCGCGCGCGGAGGTGCCACGACGACTTCTGCAAGTGGGCGTCTCCGTGTTGGAGGCCGTTTGTCTTTGCGGTCACGCCGAGATTTGTGCATATCTGCTCGACCACGGTGCGGAATTGAACAGCGCCTCGCAATTAGATGGCATGTCCGCTGTGCACAAAGCTGCCTCAGGTGGATCCCCCAGTGTGCTCCGCATTCTGCTTGACAGGCGTGCCGACATAAACGCTCGGATGCTGGATTCGAGGACGCCGCTCATGTGTGCCGCGAACGCAGGGAACTGCGATTGCGTCACCCTTCTGCTGGAAGAGGGAGCGGATTGCGCCGCAACCGATGACAAGGGGTACACTGCGAAGGTCTTGGCCGCGATAGTCAGAGAGCACGGCGTACTGGCTTGCATGAAGGGCAAAGCTGACTGCGATAGTGTCACTCATGAGGTGTAAAATTTTCAGGCGTCCTCGGACGCCGATTTTCCCTGCACGAGGCGATGGGGCTCACACAGGACATAGCCTCCGTTCAACCATGTTTCTCTCGAGGGAAGATGACCGGCCATGACCAAGATGTCGCGGGACCTTGACGACGCCGATCTTGGAAATGGTCCATGCCGGATGACGAGGATGATGACGACGGCCGTCGACGATTCGCGAGGATGATCCACGGATGACGATGATGAACAAGGGCGCCCTCGAGGGCGCGAAGTTAGTTATTGAATCGCTTCGCTCATTCCGCCGGCCCGTGATATGGCATCGCTGGTTTTTGTCTGTGTGTTCGTTGCCCATGTTGCGCTCTTGGGGGCGGGTGTCGTTCGGACGCGTTGCGTGGGGAGTTTTGATGGTGAAGCAGTTCCCTGGGGGTCGTCTCTCGATGGGGCGAAATAGAGTCGTCGTCAAGATGCTTCTTTGGGGGGCCTCTTGGGGTCTGTTGAGAGGCCGTTCGGGGGCGCCTGGGAGACATGTTTGAAGCCTTCTGGGGCTTCTTTTGGGCCTCCTGGGAGTCTCCTGGGGCCTCTTGGCGACATCTTGGGGCCTCTTGGAGGCCTCTTGGGGCCTCTTTGGGACCTCCTGGGCGCCTTCTGGGACGGAGGGCTCCATTTTTGAGTTCTCGGTATCCCTCCTGAGTCCCTCTTGGGCCCGTCTTGGGGCCTCTTGGTCCGTCTTGGGCGGCACTTGGGCCGTCTTGAGGGCTCTCTTGGGTCGTTTCGGCGCCGTCTTGGGAGCTTCGTGGGCCGTCTTGGAGCGGTCTTGGGGGCCTCTTGGGCCGTCTTGGAGCGTCCGGAAGCCGAAAAAGCCAGAACACAACAAACATCGAAAAAACCAATGAAAATCAACGATTTTGGCCTCTTGGGGCTCTCTTCGGAGGCCTCTTGGAAGGCTCTTGGGGCGTCTTGGAGGCCTCTTGGGCTGTCTTGGGGGCCTTTTGGGCCGTCTTGGGGTCATCTTCGGCGTCTTCGAGCGCTCTTTGGGCGTCTCGGGGGCCTCTTGGGCAGTCTTGGGGGCCTCTTGGGGCACTCTGAGCGCGCTCTGGGGAGCCTGAGAGGCCGCACCCAGAAGGAAAACCATCTCTGAGTAGACTTGGTCGGGCGGCGACCGGGCGTTGGTCGGGGTACTTTTCGCCGGGGGACCCCCAGGGGCCGCCCCGCGCGCGCGAACTAGAAATACTGTTAATACTGTTAACCAGTTACCGGAGATCTTAGCACGCCCTGGCCCGTTGGGCCGGCGAATTCACGCTTCGCGGTTCGGCTCCGATTCCTCATCCTCCTATTCTCCCCTGGGAGGCGGCGCGGGAGCGCGAAGTTATTCGCACTTCGCGCTTCGCGCAGCGCGAAGCGCGAAGTTGGGAGCCCTTGATCAAGGTGTGGACGATCACCGAGATCGGCACCGGCGCTCGGTCTTGGCCGTGGTCCTCGTGTTCCTCCAGGGGAGGAGGAGAAGGAGGAGGAGGAGGACGAGAACGAGGAGGAGGAGCAAGAGGAGGAGGAGGAGGAGGAGGAGGAGGAGGAGGAGGAGGAGGAGGAGGAGTGTTCCTTCCTCGTCGCCTGTTCTTTCTGTCGAGCTCAGCCGTCTTTCGAAGGAGGAAGAGCCTACATTAACATAAACTTTCGAAGTTCCGCGCGGATCTCTTGGATCGGCGCTGGACCCCCCTCCTTGGCGCGCGGAGCGCGCCAGGGGCGGCTCTGAAGGCGTCGCCAGGAGGGCCTCAGCGCCGATCCGAGAACCCGCGGTGACCTCCGAAAGCCTGTGCTTACACATCTGTTTCTGTTTCGAGCCTTCTGGCCTCTCCTGGCACTCCATGCCTCCTCTCCTCTCCAGGGCGCGAGCTAAACAGTGCTTGGGCGCTTTCGTGGACCGCTTTCGTCTTGATCTCGTTTTGCGGGAAAAGGCGGAGCGAAGAAAGAGCGAAGGAAAACGAAACCGGCGGCGGGCGAGGGGGGGAAGTGAGAAGGAGAAGGCCTTCTCAGAGGGCTCGGAAGCCCCCCGGCCTTTTGAGATGTTTTCTAAGCCTTTCCTGAAGACGCAGAAAAAACTTATCAGAAAGCGCCAGGGCTTCGGAGACGTCCCGCCGCCTTCTGAGAAGGCTTTTCTCTTCTCACTCCCTCCTCGCTCTCCGCCGACGAAAGCAGAACAAAGATGAAACACACCCTTTTGCTCGAGCTCTGCTCTCTCTCGTTCCCTCCCTCGTGTGGACGATCTCGTGGGCTGCTCTTTTTTTTGCAATCCCATCCTGCGGCAGTCACAGAGCGAAGACGGACCGAAGGGAAACGGAAGCAGAGCGAAAACGACAAACCTTGCTGAGCTTGAGCCCTGCTCTCTCTTTGTGATGGGCCAGCCTACTTCAGCCTTGACCACCAGAAAGAAGTTCGAGCACCAGGAAAGTACCGAAACTCTAGGGTTTTCACGTGTCGGGCCCTTGGAAACACTCGTCCGACACTGTTTCGACGCCGTTCGACACTGTTTCGACACTGTTTCGACATTTTTCCGGGTACTCAGAATTATTTATGTGATGTGGTCTTTAAGTACGATGGGAGCAACATAAGTCAAGAGTCCAAAGTGCAAAGGGTAAAAGAACGACGGGGGCGTCTTCAAGAATAACCAATCAAGGGGGGCGGGTTTCCTCTCTCCTCGCGCAAGCCTCCAGCTCGCCGCAGTTCGTCACCTGTCGAACAGGCTTTCTCGCGAAGATTTAAGTCGGGTGTGTCCCTCTACAGGAGGAGTGCTCAAACATGTTCTCGAAGTTATTTCTGGGATGTGGTCCTCACGTGCGATGGGAGCAACACAACTCGAACCCTGCTCTCTCTCTCTCTCTTGCGCCTGGGCTGCAGCCCCCGTGTCGCCTCGGCCACGCGGCGGAGCCCGTCGGACTGCAGCGGGCTGCGCGCCTCCCCCCTTCGGGCAAGCGCCGCTGGCAGTGGGCACGACGCCCGCGCGCGCAGGCGGCGGCGAGCGGCCAGGGCAGAGCTGGGAGACGCGATGCTCGGCGGCGAGCCCGGGGGGGGGGGGGAAGCGAGTCGAAGAAGAAGAACACACGGACGTAAACTTCTGGCGCTCCGCGCGGAGTTCTTGGATCCGCGCCTGGGTCCCCCCGGCGGCACCTCCGGCGCCGCCCCTGGCGCGCTCCGCGCGCCAGGGAGGGGGGTCCGGCGCGGATCCAAGAAATCCGCGCGGAGCACCAAATGATTATGGTGATGTGGTTCTTCTTCTTCTAGCGAGGGGGCGAACCTTCTCAGAGGGCTCGCACGCCCCCTGGCCTTCCTCCGAGCCTTCCCCGAAGGTCGGTATCGTTTCACCGATCCCCATCCCCATCCCCATCCAGACCCCCAGCATCCTTGCACCCCAGTTGGGGGCACACACACCTCGAAACCCGAATGGAACGGCCTATATCCCCATCCCCATCTCATCTGGTCAATCGGCCATTGGGGCCCAGGCCACGTTCATGGGGATAGGGGTCGGTTAAACGATGCCCAAAGGCACGGACAAAAATTTATCAGAAAGCCCGAGGGCTTCCGAGAAGTCCCGCCGCCTTCTGAGAAGGCCCTCTTCTTCTCACGTCCCCCCCTCGCTCGCCGCCGAAATGAGGTGCGGGACAACCTCCTCCCCCGTCAACCCCTTTTACAGTCAACCCGCACCGTAAGGATGAGCAACTTTGCAAAGTTGCCCTTGCGCCCTTCCAATTCGGCCCATCCTTGGCCGCTTTCGCTGGCTGCCCCCCGCTCGCAGAGTGTCGGCATGGCCTTCCAGGGCCCCGTTCGTTCTTACTACATGGGTTGCTTGTACGCGGGAGCTGGGGTCCACCGACGCTTTCGCCCTGGATTTTGACGGCCCATTTCTTTGTGGGGTGTTTGCAGCGGGAGCTCGCGTCGAGTTTCAGAGTGAGTCTCGTCATTTTCCTGACGGCCCCGTCAGGCCAACCAGAGTCCCCCGAACCCGAGTCTTACGTCTCCCCGACGCAGGCACGATTCCCGGAGGTCCTGGCGGACTTCTCGGATCGGCGCTTGGCCCTCCCTGGGGCGCGCTGCTTTTGTGTTGGAGGGCACTCTTGAAGCGAGGTGCGTCGCCGTGGAGCGCCAGTGCGGCCAGCAGTCGGGCCTAACGGCCACGCGCACGCACTGGGCGCGGGCGTCAACTGATGTTCGCTGATTTATCGATTGTATCGCGAAGAACAAAAACGGCATAAACATGTATATATTTGGAGCTCCGGGCAGATTTCATGGATCGGCGCTGGGCCCCCCTAGCGCGGCTCCGCGCGCCAGGGGGTGGCGTCCAGCGCCGATCCAAGAAATCCGCGCGGAGCTCCAAAAGTTTGTGTTTATACTTTTCATTGTTCCTCTATCATCAACGACGTTTCACACTTGCCCGCCCGTGTTTAATGCTCTCTGGTGTAGGTTGGCACGTGTGTGCTTTGCCGATTGTAGCCAGCAGCGCGCCTGTCAGGAAAACAAGGGCCCGCATCAACACCAGCATCGACGGTCGTCTTCATCGATGGAGCGGATCGACGACCTCGGTGCTGGTGGCCCCGTGGTTCTGGAAGAAAGACAAAAAACGCCCATCGTCGAGGTTATCGAAACTGGGCAATCCACCCCCCGGCTCTAATTTCAATGTTCAAGGCCTTCTATCCGGGCGAGCGGCAATCCTTTCGGGAGAGTATGGTTTTGCGGACTACGGCCCGCGTGTGAGTGTGGACACTGACACCATGGGCGCGGGTAGGGGGGGGGCGACATCGTTCCGTCTCTTGCATGTATCAGACCGAGACAGCGAAGACATGGATTCAGGCGCGTGGGTGAGCTTTGGGTCCCGTTTCCGTGCAGAGTCGGCGCTCTTCGTCGCCAAATAAGGTGGCACCTGCCTGGTGTTTCGGGGGGGCCTTTCCAGATCCGTGGGGGATCTGGCGCCCACGCACCAGATCCACGGACTCCTGATCCAATGTCAGCTTGCGCTCGACTGGATGA